TCCAAGTAGCCGGAACTACAGGCACGCGCTACCACATCCAGCTAATTTTTGATTTATTGTAGAGACGAAGTCTTGCCAAGTTGCCCAGGTGGGTCTCAAACCCGTGGGCTCAGGCAATCCACTAGCGCTTCGGCCTCCCAAAGTGCTGGGATTACAGGCTGAGCCACCGATCCCAGCCTGCTCAGTTTTCTAATTGTTTACAGTGGGAGGTTAATTCCAGACCCTGTTATTCTTTCATGGCCAACAGCATAAGTCTCTCACAATGATTATGAGTTCCAGTGTAACTACTTTGAACCAGAGTTGTTTATCTTAAGAAATTCTGTTATGTAGATTGCCAACTAATGAAATATTTAATGCAATCTGTGTTAAAAGTCACTATCCATAATGAAAAGATAATGCTTGGATGTGGTTGGCACAGCACCTCAATGGTTACAATCCCCAATATATACCCAGCTTTATAAAATAAGTCCCAATGTGATTAAATTTTTTTTTTTTTTTGAGTTGGAGTCTCACTCTGTCACCCAGACTGGAGTGCAGTGCCCGCTCCCAGCCACTGCAGCCTCAACCTGCTGGGCTCCGGTGATCCTTCCGCCTCAGCCTTCCAAGTAGCTGGAACTACAGGCGCGCGCTACCACGCCCGGCTAATTTTTTGATTTATTGTAGAGATGAGGTCTCGCCAAGTTGCCCAGGCGGGCCTCGAAGCCGCGGGCTCAGGCAATTCACTCACCTCAGCCTCCCAAAGCACGGGATTACAGGCTGAGCTACGAGCCTGGCTTGTGATTAATTAAGATAAAGGACACTGTCAACATCCCTGAAAGCCCCCACTTGCCCCTTCCCAGTCAATTCCCACCTTCACCTCCAGAGGTAACCACTGATCTGAATTTTATCACAACAGGTTAGTTTTACCTGTTCTAGAATTTCATATAAATGAGCCGGGCGCTGTGGCTCATGCCTATGATCCCAGCACTTTGGGAGGCAGAGGCGAGAAGATTGTCTGAGGCCACGGGTTCAAAACCAGCCTGGGAAACATGGTGAGACCTCATCTCTACAATAAATCAAAGAATTAGATGAACAAGAGAGTAAGACTTTGACTCAAAAAAAGATAATTTCTTATAAATGATAACATTTAGGTAATTTCTGCCATACAGCATAACATGACTGAATATATCAGCAGTTTCTTCTTTTTTTTTTGAGTTGAAGTCTCACTCTGTCACCCAGGCTGGAGTGTAGTGGTACGCTCACGGCCACCACAGCCTTGACTTGCTGAGCTCAGGCAATCTTTCCACCTCAGTCTTCCAAGGAGCTGGAATTACACCATGCCTGGCTAATTTTTTTGATTTACTGTAGAGGCGAAGTCTTATCAGGTCGCCCAGGCTGGTCTCAAACCTGTGGACTCAGGCAATTCTCTCGCCCCCACCTTCCAAAGTGCTGGGATTACAGGCATGAGCCTCTGTGCCCAGTTTTTCCTCTTTCTTGCAGAGTAGGAATCCATTGTTTATCTATTCTTTTTTTCCTAGATATCTGAGGTGTTTCTAGTTTTTGGCTATTGAAAATAAATCTAGTTGCCAGGCTTGGTGGCTCAGCCTATAATCCTAGCACCCTGAAAGGCCGAGGTGAGTGGACTGCCTGAGCCTGCGGGTTCAAGACCAGCCCGGGGAACTTGGCGAGACCTCATCTCTACAATAAATCAAAAATTAGGCAGGCATGGTAGCACGCACCTGTAGTTCCGGCTACTTGGAAGGCTGAGGCGGAAGGATCGCCAAAGCCCAGCAGGTCAGCAGTGGAGTGGCTGTGAGTGTGCCACTGTACTCCAGCCTGGGTAACAGTGAGACTCCAACTCAAAAAAAAGAAAAAAGAAAAGAAAGTTAGTATAAACATTCTTGTACAAGGCTTTTGGTAAATGTATGGTTTCATTTCTCCTGTATAAATACCTAGGAGTAGAATTTCCAGAGCATAGACATGTATGTTACCTTTTTCACATATGCTTTTGATTAATTGAAAAATGTTGTTGAAATGACTGCAAGCTACCAGAAGACTGAGACAGCATATATTTTGTGCCATTGCTTACCTTTAGTATCTAAAACAATGTCTGAAGCCGGGCTCAGTGGCTCAGCCTGTAATCCCGTACCTTTGGGAGGCAGAGGTGAGTGGATTGCCTGAGCCCGCGGGTTCGAGATCCGCCTGGGCAGCGAGACCTCATCTCTACAATAAATAAAAAAATCTGGTGGGCATGGTAGCAAGCGCCTGTAGTTCCAGCTACTCGAAAGGCTGAGGTGGAAGGATGGCTGGAGCCCAGCGGGTTGAGGCTGCGGTGGCCGGGAGCGGCCACTGCACTCCAGTCTGGGCGACCGAGTAAGACTCCAACTCAAAAAAATAAAAATAAAAAATAAAACAATGTCTGAAATAAAGTCAGTGTTCAATAAATATATGCTAAATAAATGAGAAAGTACAAAATAAAAACATTAAAAAATGACTTACACCTAATATAAGACCTCTCTGTAGCATCTTCTAATTACGCTGTTTTTGCAGACAATTTTATAAACTCGTTTTCACCATGATCATCTTTTCTTTAACAGTATTGTTCTTGTATCAGAATTTTATTTGTCAAGCCCCACTTTGCTCTCCTAATATAAAAAAGATTTACTGGCCAAGTTCGGTGGCTCAGCCTGTAATCCCAGCAGTTTGGGAGGCCAAGGAGAATGGATTGTCTGAGCCCGTGGGTTCGAGACCCGCCTGGGCAACTTGACGAGACCTCATCTCTACAATAAATAAAAAATTAGCTGAGCATGGTAGCGTGAGCCTGTAATTCCAGATTCTTGGAAGGCTGAGGTGGAAGGATCACCAGGAGCCCAGCAGGTCGAGGCTGCAGTGGCCGGGAGCGGCCACTGCACTCCAGTCTGGGTGACAGAGTGAGAGTCCAACTCAAAAAAAAAAAAAATTTATCAATTTTATGAAATCTCCTATTTTCAACCTTTCTAATATCTTTAAAGATAAAATGATACTTTGTTTTGTTTTATTCTCCTTCCTTGTTCTTTGAACATTTACTGAACTAAATAATTATTGTTTTCAGGTGGTTTTTCTAAAAGAACACACAGCAAATTATTTTTAAAATTTTTAAAAACTGGCCAGGCTTGGTGGCTCAGCCTGTAATCCCAGCCCTTTGGGAGGCCGAGGTGAGCGGATTGCCTGAGCCCGTGGGTTCGAGACCCTCCTGGGCAACTTGGTGAGACCTAATTGCTACAATAAATTTAAAAAAATTAGCCGGGCGTGGTAGCGCGCGCCTGTAGTTGCAGCTACTTGGAAGGCTGAGGCAGAAGAATCACCGGAGCTCAGCAGGTCGAGGCTGCAGTGGCCGGGAGAGGCCACTGCACTCCAGTCTGGGCGACAGAGTGAGACTCCAACTCAAAAAAAAAAAATTTTTTTTAACTTTCTGTAATCATGTCAATGTATGCTTGTTTTTTGAATTAATAAGTGGAGTTACCAGCCATGTATAAAACTATAATATTAGCCGGACATGGTGGCTTACGCCTGTAATCCCAGCACTTTGGGACGCCGAGGAGATAGGATTGCCTGAGTCCGGGTGTTTGAGACAAGCCTGGACAATTTGGCAAGAACTCATCTCTACAATAAACAAAAAAAATTAGCTGGGTGTGGTGGTGCACACCCGTGATTCCAGCTACTTGGAAGACTGAAGCAGAAGGATTGCCTGATCCCAGTAGGTGAGGCTGCAGTGGTTGTGAACATGCACTCTGTTACCCATGCACTCTATTACCCAGGCTGGAGTGCAGTGGCATGCTGCTCACTGCTGCTGCAACCTTGACTTGCTGGGCTCAGGCAATTATTATGTTCAACCTTCCAAGTAGTTGGAACTATAGGTGTGTGCCACTACGTCTGGCTAATTTTTTGATTTATTGTGAAAATGAGGTCTCGTTAAGTTGCCCAGGTTGGCTTTGAACTGGTGGGCTCAGGCAATTCTCTTGCCTCGGACTCCCAAAGTGCTGGGATGACAGGCATGAGCTACCGCATCTGCGATAATAACCTTTTAATTCTTTTAGCTGGAGAAGAAAGTGCTGACAAAAAAAGGTATGAGTATTTCAAGACCTAAATATACTCTTGGGAGCTGGGTCACCTATAATTTACTATGCTACCTAAGGACAGGTCAAATCACCTTATTATAATTTATCAATTAAAAAATCCCCCCCGCAGCCGGGCTCGGTGGCTCAGCCTGTAATCCCACGCCTTTGGGAGGCTGAGGTGAGTGGATTGCCTGAGCCCGCGGGTTCGAGACCCACCTGGTCAGCGAGACCTCCTCTCTACAATCAATCAAAAAATCAGCCGGGCGTGGTAGCGCGCGCCTGTAATTCCGGCTACTCAGAAGGCTGAGGTGGAAAGATCGCCGGAGCCCAGCAGATCGAGGCTGCGGTGGCCGGGAGCGGCCACTGCACTCCAGTCTGGTTGACCGAGTGAGACTCCAACTCAAACAAACAAACAAAAAATCCCCCCCAAAAAACTCTTTGGTTAGTGCCTATAACTCAGCATCACTTGACCAAGTATTTCATTGTATGAGGGAATATACTTACTAGGATGTAATGTTGGCACATGTTGTCCAAGTCTGTCATCTTTTAGCATGTGTAGCAATGTTGTTTTTCCCGCATTATCCAATCCAAGAAACACCAATTTACCCGTTTTCTTATATAATCCTGCAGAGTAAGAGCTATGATTGGTCAAAGTGATATCTGACAGATTATTGAAATAACTTTAAATTTGGGTCAAATAAGCTTTGATTTCTAAATCTATTTTCCATTTTACAAAAGCTATTTTAGGCCAGGTGCAGTGGCTCACTCCTATAATCCCACAACTTTGGGAAGAGGCAGAGGAAAGAGGATTGCCTGAGTTCTAGGATTCGAGACCAGCCTGGGCAACTTGGTGAGACCTTGTCTCTATAATAAATAAAAAAATTAGCTGGGTATGATGGTGCACACCTGTAGTTCCAGCTACTTGGAAGGCTGAGTTGGAATGATCGCCTCAGCTTAGCAGGTTAAGGCTGCGGTGGCTGTGAGTGTGCCACTGCACTCCAGCCTGGTGACAGTGAGACTCAAACTCAAAAAAAAAAAAAGCTATTTAAAATCTATTAATGATTTTGGACATTAAATAATTATAAAACTAATCTTTGCCTCAGTCAACAGAATATGTGTGTTGCCTTAACATATGTACAATGCCAAAATGCAGATTACTTTAATTTTAAAAGTATTAGCAGGGTATTGATTGATAGAAAAACTGATAAATAGAAAAAAGGAAGCATTGGTTGGGCACAGTAGCTCATGCCTGTAATCCCAGCACTTTGGGAGGCCAAGATGGGAGGATTGCTTGAGCTCAGGAGTTCAAGACCAGCCTGGGCAATGCAGCAAGACCTCATCTCTACAAAAAATAAAAAAAATGAGGCAGACATGGTAGTGCACACCTGTAGTCCTAGCTACTCAGGAGGCTGAGGCTGGAAGATCACTTGAGCCCAGAAGTTTGAGGTTGCAGTGAGCCATGATTGTGCCAGTGCACTCCAGCCTGGGCAACAGAGTAAGTCTCTGACTCAAACAAACAAACAAACAAAAAAGAAATAAGGAAAGAAAAGAAAAAAGGGGCAGCATTGACAAATTTGTAGTAGACTGGCATTATTTAACTAGTAAATTTGAAATTAAACTTTATTTTTTATGTGTTTAATGTTTAATTGTCTTACATGAGGATAAGTGACTTAGTCTTATACTAGCAGCTCAAAAAATATGAACTCAATCAATAAATAAACTTTTACATATATTAGGCGATAAGAATTTCAGGCCATTCATTTCCTAATAAATTCATGCCAAAATAATACCTAGTTCTTTGTTCACATTTAAGTCTCAGAAATAAATTGTTTGAAGTCCTACTCTTTTTTTGGATATGGGAAATACATTTCTTTATTATTAAGGAATCCACTTCTATGACTGTCATGAAGTTCAGGCTGAGTTAACAGCAATGAGTTCTGGAAGTAACTACATCCCACTCTGAATTTTCTGGTTATACTGCCTGTCTTCTCAACCCCAACTGAAAACCCAGGCTCATGAGGCCTTAACCCATGCTCTCCTATTCCTAGCAAATGGCAAAGCCAACTATGTGGTGGAGGAGAAAGTGGCTTTGTCTTCCTAGAAGACAAACCCTCCACTTTGTGTTATGAGGCAGATAGCAGCCCTAAACCATAGAAAGAATTGGGGACTGTGCAGGCCTCAACTGAAGTCCTAGTCTTTTAATCACTTACTGACCAAAAACTCTGATTCTAAGGGGAGAATTGTCTTCCATTTTTACCCAGGCTAGGGTACTATATTTCTGTTAATTATGAATTGTGACTAATAATTTCTTTAAACAATACTTCTATTTCTTTAAAAGTTTCTACTGTCTCCAACCAATGCAATCAATCTTACAATCTTAAGTTTTAAACAGTAAAATGCACTGGATAAGATTCCAAAAGAAACCACCTAGAATATTTATATTTCAATTTTTAAAGATTGCAAGCGGGACTAAATTTTTACTTTGTGGTAATGTATACAGGCACTATTAAGTACCTGTATACATTTAATTTACCCATATTTCACTTAATCCTCTTTGAAGTGGACATTACCTTCCCCCCCCTTTTTTTTTTACAGAGGGGTATCCTAAGGCTCAGCGTTAACTAGCTCAGTGCTGAAGTCAGATCTGAAATTTGAATCCATGCCTGACTCCAAAGGTTTGGTTTCTTCACTGCCTCCTAATGCTTGGCCTATAACCTTCTTGTCCATGATTGTGATAAAATCTATTTTGTCTTTTCAACATAATTCAGCTTAGTTTGTATTTCTATAAACTGAGATATAGTTTATAATGAGTTAAAATCCTTATTTCTGATTCAGTTTTTATAACAATAAGTGACAAAATATTTCAGTTTGATAAAATAAATTTAAGAATACTCTTGGTAGTAGTATAGAAATATCTAGCCAGGCTTGGTGCCTCAGCCTGTAATCCTGCACCTTTGGGAGGCTGAGGTGAGTGGATTGCTTGAGCCCGCGGATTCGAGACCCGCCTGGGCAACTTGGCGAGACCTCATCTCTACAATAAATCAAAATGAGCCAGGCGTGGTAGCGCACGCCTGTAGTTCCAGCTACTTGGAAGGCTGAGGCGGAAGAATTGCCGGAGGCCAGCAGGTTGAGACTGTGGTGGCCGGGAGCAGCCACTGCACTCCAGTTTGGGCGACAGAGTGAGACTCCAACTCAAAAAAAAAAAAAAATCTGACATGTGACCTGTAGTAGAGTGACACTATAAAATGGTGTGAGAAATTTAATTAAAAAAAAAAGAGGGTCAGGCACGGTGGCTCAGGCCTGTCATCCTAGCACTTAGGGAGACCGAGGCGAGAGGATTACCTGAGCTCAGGGGTTCGAGTCCAGGCTGGGCAACTTGGTGAGATCACAAAAAATAAGCCAGGCATGGTAGTGTGTGCCTGTAGTTCCAGCTACTTGCAAGGCTGAGGAGGAAGGATGGCCCGAGTCCAGCAAGTTGAGACTGTGGTGGCCATGAACGTGCCACTGCACTCCAGCCTAAGTGACAAAGAGTGAAACTCCAACTCAAAAAAAAAAAAAATGAGCTCAACAAAAATAAAATTGCAATATTATTAATGCAATAATCAAGTTGAACATATTCCAACACAAAAATTAATCAGAAGTTTATTTCAAGCCAGGCATGGTGGCTCACACCAGTAATCCCAGTGCTTTGGGAGGCTGATGCAGGAGGATCCTTGAACCCAGAAGTTCCAGACAAGCCTGGGCAACAAAATGAAATCTTTTCTCTACAAAAATAAAAGGAGCCAGGTGCAGTGGCTTAAACCTGTAATTCCAGCACTTTGGGAAGCTGAGGCGAGTGGACTGCCTGAGTCCAGGGGTTTGAGATCAGACTGGGTACTTTGGCAAGACCTTACCTCTACAATAAATCAAAAGATTAGCCAGGCGTGGTAGCATACACCTGTAATTCCAGTTACATGGAAGGCTGAGGCAGAAGGATCACTTGAGCTCAGGGGGTCGAGGCTGCAGTGGCTGTGAACATGCCACTGCACTCCAGCCAGGGTGACAGAGTGAGACTTCAACTTAATAAATAAATAAAAGCAAAGAAAATCAGCTGGCTGCAGCAGCATGCACCCGTGGGCTCATCTACACTGGAAGGCTGAGGGGGCAAGATTGTTTGAGCCCAGGTGTTCAAGGCTATAGTGAGCTATGATCACACCACTGCAATCCAGCCTGGACGGCAAAGCGAGCGATCTCATAAAAAAAAAAAAAAAAAAAAAGTTATTTCACTGAAAAAATGTAACAGGTCAAGGGTTTCAATAAAAGAATGTGAAGCTAAGGCAAAAAAAAATCTATAAAGTGGAAAGTCACTAGTCAGTATTGCTGGGAAAAATAATCTCATTTTGCAGATTATAATCTGCTATTTATGATGTGCAAAGCATTTATGGAACATACATTTTTATAGTAATAAAAATAATATGCTGGATTACTGTGAGGATTAAAGCACATAGGTAAACTAGCTCATAAATGGTAGACTTCTGTTAGTAATATTCCTAACAACAACCTTAAGCAGTAGGAATTATTATTGCCATTTTTCAGACAAGGAAACTCAAGTTAAAGTAGAATAAATAATTTGCCCAGTATTACATAATTTAAAGGGATGCAATGAGTAACTGAACATATCTGTAGGATATCAAAGCCCATAGTCTTAACTACCAGCTTATATAAAGAGGCTCTACACAAAGAAGTACTATTGTATAAATAGGATTAGATGGTTTAACTATAGAGAACAAAAAGCCAGCATTACCTAAAAACTGTAGCACACTGCTAAAACCACTGTAAATCCAATCAAATATGAAGGACATATCCAAGTTTGTTAGGGTCTGAAAAAAAAGTTTTGAATTTAGTAGTCAACATCAAACACCAATAAACATTAAACACTGGCAGTGTTAAACATGAACTCTGAGTAAATAATGCTATGACAAACTTACTACAAAGAGTTAAATACTCTTATCCAAGCTGGTCTAACATCTATACAGATGCATAGAAAACAAAATGCCATTGAAATACTAAGTAAGCTGGGTGCATGCCAGTAATCCCAGCACTTTGAGAGACAGAGGTGAGAGGATTACCTGTACTCAGGGGTTTGAGACCAGTCTGAGTAACATGGCAAAACCTCGTCTCTACAATAAATCAAAAAATCATCTGGGAGTGGTGGCACATGGCTGTGGTTGAGCTACTTGGAAGGTTGAGGCCCAAGGATCACCTGAGCCCAGCAGGTTGAGGCTGCAGTGGCTGTGAGCGTGCCACTGCTCTCCAGCTTGGGCAACAGATTAAGACTTCAACTCAAAAACAAACAAAGCAGAGACCATTCTTTGTCCATCAAAGCAGCATGAAAAAGAATTACAACAGCCAAGACTAGAGAGGATGTGGTAAAAGAGGCACATTTAGTGGCAGTATAAACTGGTACAAAACCAATTTGGTAATAATATATCTTTGATATCATTTAACCCAAGAACTCTACTTTTAGAATCTGTCCTAGATGTAGAAAAGTTTTATGTACTAAGATGTGTTACTTAAGAAAAATTTTGGAGGTAATCTATGTCCAACAATAAGTTAAATAAGTTATAGTAGATATTTACCAAAACCTTGCTGGGGATGGGGAAAAGGAAGAAGAGTAGGAAGAAAAGAATGAGGAGAAGATGAAAAGTTGTGACATTGAAATAAGTTTCTAAGTCGGCTGGGCTCAGTGGCTCAGCCTGTAATCCCAGCAGTTTGGGAGGCTGAGGCGAGTGGATTGCCTGAGACTGAGGGTTTGAGACCAGCCAGAGCAACTTGGTAAGACTTCGTCTCTACAATGAATAAAAAATTAGCCAGACGTGGCAGAGCCTGGCTACTTGGAAGGCTGAGGCGGAAGGATTGCCGGAGCCCGGCAGGTACTCAGCCTGGGTGACAGAGTAAGGCTCCAACTCAAAAAAAAAAAAAAAAAAAAAAAAAGTTTCCAAGTCTAATTATACCCATGTGGAGTAAAAACCTTTTTTTTCTATTTCTCTGGGTGTTTTATAGCAATTGGTTCCAGGTGGCAAATTTCTGGGCCTGTTATCTTTCTGTACTTTTCTTTTCTTTTTTTTAACATCCGAGAACTTTATTGGAAACAGATCTGGTGTGGAGCCTGTGTATTTTTCAAACTTTAATCACATTACTAAATGTTGAAAAATTTTTTAAATCATAGTAGAAAATAAAGAGTGTATTTCAGTTCAACATTTACTGGGCATGTGCCTTGATAAACTAATAGGGTAATATGAAAATAAGATTAAGAAATGACTCTTGAGAAAAGAAAGATCACATATATTAAAATATACTTTCAGCCGGGCTCGATGGCTCAGCCTGTAATCCTGCGCCCTTGGGAGGCTGAGGTGAGTGGATTGCCTGAGCCCGCGGGTTCGAGACCCGCCTGGGCAGCGAGACCTCATCTACAATAAATCAAAAAATCAGCCGGGCGTGGTAGCGCATGCCTGTAATTCTGGCTACTTGGAAGACTGAGGCGGAAGGATCGGTGGAGCCCAGCAGATCGAGGATGCGGTGGCCGGGAGTGGCCACTGCACTCTAGTCTGGGCGACAGAGTGAGACTCTAACTCAAAAAAAACAAAAACAAAAAAACTCTCAGCTCGACAGTTACTAGAATTTAACCAAAGAACCGAGGCCCAAAACTTGGACCAAGTCAAAAAAGTTTGAAGGGTCATGCTATTTTTTACTTTCCTTTGACAAAGTATGACATAACACAGCTTTCTTTAACCATCTCTCACTTAAGTAGGCTGTCAGACACAGATGTGCCTAAAAAACTCAAAATTTCTAGAGAATAAGGTTCCACACAATTCATCACCTCTTACAACCTTATCACCTTGAGAGTAAGAGACAGAGATGAGAGTGAGACCATCTTCAGTTTGTATGAGGCCTAGTAGTCTTTCCTATGAGAGTTCCTGGATACTGGCAAGAGTCTCTCCTCTCTCGCCTCCTCTTTACTTGAACTAGTGTGAACAGAATTTTGCTTTTTGTTTTTTTCAGTTGGAAAAATTTTGCCACTTTCTATATGATCTCGAATGATAATAGTAGAAGGAGGCATAACTTTGAACTTTAAAATAGGAACTTTCAAGGTATTATATATATGTTGCTGTTGTACTTCTCATTCTTGTAATAATGACACATGGAACCATTTATAATTTTGCCAATAACTTGATTTCTTCTTCTTTTTTTTTTTTGAGTTGGAGTCTCACTCTGTTGCCCAGACTAGAGTGCAGTGGCATGCTCCTGGTCACCGAAGCCTCGGTCCACTGTGCTCAGGCGATCCTTCCACCACAGCTTTCCAAGTAGCTGGAACTACAGGCATAGGCTAATTTTTTTATTTATTGCAGAGATGCGGTCTCACCATGTTTCCCAGGCTGGTATTGAACCTCTGTACTAAGGCAATCCTCTTGTCTCCATCTCCCAATGTGCTGGGATTACAGGTGTGAGCCACTGTGCCCAGCACTTTTTTTTTTTTTTTTTTTTTTGAGTTGGCGTCTCACTCTGTCACACAGACTGGAGTGCAGTGGCCACTCCCGGCCACTGCAGCCTCAACCTGCTGGGCTCCGGTGATCCTTCCGCCTCAGCCTGCCAAATAGCTGAAACTACAGGTGTGTGCTACCACACCTGGCTAATTTTTGATTTATTGTAGAGATGAGGTCTTGCCAAGTTGGCCAGGCGGGTCTCGAACCCGCGGGCTCAGGCAATCCACTCACCTCAGTCTCCCAAAATGCTGGGATTACAGGCTGAGCCACCAAGCTCGGCTCCAGCACTTTAAAAAAAAATCTATTGTAGAGACGAGGGCTCGCCAAGATGCCCAGGCTGGTCTCTAACCCCTGGACTCAGGCAATCCTCTCGGCCTCTGCCTTCCAAAGTGCTGGGATTACAGGCATGAGCCACCCCACCCAGCTAATCACTTGATCTCAATCAGGAATTTACTGGTTGTAAGAACAAGATTCTGGCCAGGCGTGATGGCTCCACACTTATAATCCCAACACTTTGGGAGGCCAAGGCAAGAAGCCTGCCTGAGCCCATGGGTTTGAGACCAGCCTGGGCAACTTGGAGAGACCTCATCTCTACAATAAATCAAACAATTAGCTGGGTGTGGTGGTGTGTGCCTGTGGATCCAGCTACTTGGAAGGCTGAGGTGGAAGGACTGCCTGAGCCCAGCAGGTTGAGGCTGAGGTGGCCATGAGCATGCCACTGCACTCCAGCCTGGGCGAGAGTGAGATTCTGACTCAAAAAAAAAAAAAAAGAATCAAAGAATAAAATAAAGCAAAAGACTGTGTTGAGGTATTTTATTCAATTCAATACACATTTACCAAGTTTATATTATTTATGTCCAAGGTCCTAAGCTAGAGAACATGGGGAATACAAAGATTGATAACAAACACAGCTCTTTCCTTAAGAAAGGTTATAGGCTGGGCATGGTGGCTCAACCCTGTTATCTCAGTATTTTGGGAAACTGAAGCGGGAATATCACTTGAGGCCAGGAGTTTGAGACCAATCTGGGCAGCAAAGTGAGACTCCATTTCTTAAAATTAAAAAAAATAGCTGGACACGGTAATATGTACCTGTAGTCCTAGCTACTTGGGGGCCTGAGGCAGGAGGATTCCCTGAGTCCAGGAGTTGCAGGCTGCAGTGAGCTATAACTGCGTCACTGTACTCCAGTCTGGGCAACAGAGTGAGACCTTATCTCAAAACAACAACAAAAAAGAGTTATAATCTAGAGTGAGAAGTTAGCTACACAAATACAATTTAACTAAAAATAATTAAAACTGAATAGTAGATTATCTGGGATGGTGACATCATACTCTATAGGGTTTGTAGACTTATGGTAAACACAAAGAAAAAAATGGCCAATATTGTAAAACATCATCTCCTAGGGGAATAATTTTTTTTTTTTTTTTTTTTGAGTTGGAGTCTCACTCTGTTGCCCAGACTGGAGTGCAGTGGCCGCTCCCAGCCACC